CTGCAAGCTCAATACTGGGCACTGGCAGCCTAGTGCTGCCCGTGCTCCACATGTCACAATTAGGATTTTATCTTCACAGATAACGCAATCTCACTAACTGCGTGTGCTCCTGGGGATTAAGTTCAGGCTTAGACTGCTTTTTTTTCAGAACCCAAGGTTTCATGAACGGGCAGTCTTTCTACTAAGGCAGCAGATGAGTAACACAGTGTGGAGGAATATGCAGCTTCAGTTTGGTCCTCAGACTTGGCAGCAGCAATTGATGAGAGGAAGGGCACCAAAGGAAGTGTTTGATTTAGCGCTTCCACTGGGAAGCTGCTACCCTGAAGGAGCCATGAATATCTTGTTTCCTCTGTGCTGTTTTCCCACAACATCCCAGGGACCGGTAATGAAGCAAACATTGCAGCCTCGCTGGGCCGCAGCTTTTCCCACTGGCACAAGAGGGAATTAAGAAATTATGTTCTGCTTTTGATTGTATGCATAATGTCTGGTAGTTATTCAAACATGGTCATGGTACAGCTAAGCAAAGATACTTCAACTGATTAAGCAAAGCATAACTCCAAGGTAATTTGCACATCTTTCTTTGCTAGCTTGACAAACAGTGCAATACAGGGAAGCAGGATCATAATGAATAATGAATGCCAGTAATAGAAAATTACTTGGTTTTATCCGAGGTGCTGGCTTTATATACTTGGGAGAGGGCTATTTCTAGTATTATTGATTGCAATGGATGCTGGAGCAGTGCGAGGAGCACCAGCAGCAGTGGCAGCAAGCAGTGGCAGAACACACGAGGAGACACATGGACAAGTAGAGACTTGTCTGAACAGGGGGCATTCCCCAAGCCACTGACCCCAGACCCACTGACTGGATGAGACAGCAAGGCATGGAGCCTGCACCCAGCAATGCGGGAGATTTAAGCAGGCAAAATCAATCAGCCCATCTGATTGCAACAGATGCCAGAGTATACATATTTCCAAGTGCGCAGGTGCATGGCAGCATGGTTGCCACCTGGCAAAAAGCAGCGTCACCTGCTTCTCCTGAGCTTCTAGCGCCTGGTAGAACCAGCGCAACCACACAGACAGAGCTCCTGTTCAAGCATGTGACCACCCAGGTTTCCAGCTGTGGGGCGTGTGAAGGGATATTCCTACTAGAGGTGGAAAGTGATCATAAGCAAGACTGCGGGAGGTGTGACCAGACTGATGAACTGCTCTGCTTGGCAGCTGAGCTGCAGAAGGAGGGGGGCAGACTGAGGAGCATTCAAGAGTCTGAGAAGGAGATTGATCAATGGAGCCATACTCTGCCATCTATGATGCATAGAAGCCAACTCAGTGTGGCCACTACAGAGGCAGGTCCTGGATCTGCTTTGTGCCAGGAGGAAGGTAATATCATAAGGGATAAGGAGAGGTGGAAGAAGATTACAGCATGGAGCAGTAAGAGTAACACCTTTACCCTCTAAAATACCCTTACAGAACAGGTATGAGGCCCTGGGTACAGCAGATGAAGCGCATAATGAGAAAAGAAAGAGGAGGAACCTGCGCAAGCAGTCTTGCTGAGATCAGAGAGACCAATCCCTCGCAACAAGACCTGCATTAAGACCAGCGCCGAGAAGAAACAATGGTCAGTTATTGTCATTGGTGATTCCCTTCTGTGCAGAACAGAAGCACCTGTTTGCAGACTGGACCCTCTTTTCAGAGAAGTTTGCTGCCTCCCTGGGGCCTGAATTAGGGATGTCACCACAAGACTGAAGAGTTTAGTTCAACCTTCAGACTACTATCCATTTCTGCTCTTTCATGTGGGTACAAATGATGTCGCAACAAAAAGTCTGACGTCAATCAAAATCGATTTCAGAGCCCTGGGAAGAATGCTAAAAAATTTGGGAGCATAGGTAGTGTACTACGATGTAATTGGTATTAGTGAGACCTGGGGGAACGAGTCCCACGACTGGAGTGATTGGATGGAGGGCTACAGGCTGTTCAGGAGGGATAGGCAGGGCAGGTGAGGTGGAGGTGTCGCACTGTATGTAAGGGAGAGTTTGACTGCAGAGCCCTTACAGTTAGTGATGATGTGGTTGAGAGCCTCTGGGTAAGGATTAGGGGGATGGAAAACAAAGGAGATGTTTTAGTGGGTATCTACTACCAGTTGCCCAGCCAGGATGTAAGCACTGATGAGTTATTCTATAGGCAATTAGCAGAAATTTCTGGAACAGTAGCCCTTGTCCTTATGGGAGATTTCAGCTTCCCAGGCATCAACTGGGCATATCATACTGCTGTGACAAGCAGGTCTTGGAAGTTCTTGAATTTTGTAGGAGATAACTTCTTGTCACAGGTACTCAGTGAGCCAACTAGGAAAGATGCCTTCCTAGACCTGCTGTTTGTGAATAGAGAAGAACTTGTGGGGGATGTGATGGTAGGTGGCTGTCTTGGCCACAGTGATGATGAAATGGTTGTGTTTAAAGTTTTCAGTGTAATGAGAAAAAAGGACAGCAGAGTTGCTACCCTGGACTTCAGGAGAGCAAACTTTAAACTATTCAGGGAGCCATTTAGCAGAGTCCTCTGGGAATCTGCTTTTGAGGGCTTAGGAGTCCACAAGTGCTGGTCAGTCTTTAAGAACCACCTTTTAGAAGCACATGAGCAGGCAATTCCACTGTGTTGTAAGTCAAGCAAGCGGGGCAGAAGACCAGCTTGGCTGAACAGGGAACTCCTCCAGGAGCTCAAGGGGAAAAAGAAACTGTATGATCTCTGGAAGCAAGGTCAGGCTTCTCAGGAAGAGTACGGAGCTGTGGTTCATTTATGCAGGGAGAAGACAGGAAAGGCCAAAGCTTAATTAGAGTTGAAACTGGCCAGTGTTTTTTCAGATAACAAGAAGGGCTTATAGTATGTTAATAGCAAGAAGAGGTCTAAAGAAAACATTGGACCAATACTGGTTGAAGATGGTCACCTGACTAATAGGCATGAAGAAAAAGCAGAGGCACTGAATGCATTTTTTGCCTCAGTCTTTAATAATGCTGATAGACCTTGGGCTGCCCGGTCCTCTGACTTGGAGGACCACAAGTGTGGGAACAGTGACTTTCCATTTGTGGACACTGAAGTTGTAAGAGGCCAGCTGTATCAGCTGAACGTTCACAAGTCCGTGGGGCCTGATGGGATTCACCCCAGAGTACTGAAGGAGCTAGCGGATGTTACGGCAGGACCCCTCTCGATCATTGTCCAAAGGTCTCGGGAGCCTGGGGAGGTCCCTGCTGACTGGAAGCTAGCCAGTGTTACTCCAGTCTACAAAAAGGGCGTGAGGGAAGACCCAGGGAACTACAGACCTGTTAGTCTAACCTCAGTTACCTCAGTTCCTGGAAAAATTATGGAGAAGATTATACTGGGTACTATTGAAAGGCATGTAAAGAATAATGCAATCATTGGGCACAGTCGACATGGGTTCCCAAATGGAAAGTCCTGTTTAATTAATTTGATATCCTTTTATGATAAGGTCACCCACCCAGTGGATAAGGGAGGGCGGTAGATGTAGTTTTTCTGGATTTTAGTAAGGCCCTCACAGCATCCTTCTGGACAAGTTGTCCAGCTGTGGGATGAGCAGGTTCACGGTGCGCTGGGTGAAGAACTGGCTGAAGGGCAGAGCTCAAAGGGTTGTAGTGAATGGGGCTACATCTGGCTGGCGACTGGTCACCAGCGGTGCTCCTCAGGGCTCAGTGCTAGGGCCAGTGCTGTTCAATATGGTTATCAGTGATCTGGATGCAGGAGTTGAATGCACCATTAGGGTGTTTGCTGATGACAGCAAACTGGGAGGTGCTGTTGACTGTCTTGAGGGACAGGAGGCCTTGCAGAGGGATCTAGATAGATTGGAGCATTGGGCTGTGGTTAATGGGATGAAATTTAACAAGTCCAAATGCCGGATTCTGCACCTGGGATGGAGTACTGCTGGGCACAAGTATAAACTGGGAGAGGAGTGGCTGGCGAGCAGGCCTGCAGAAAGGGATCTGGAGGTGCTGGTGGGCAGCAGGCTCAATAGGAGCCAGCAGTGTGCCGGGGCAGCCCAGAGGGCAAACCGCATCAAACACAGCATAACCAGTTGGTCAAGAGAGGGGATTATCCTGCTGTATTCAGCATTGGTGTGGCCTCACCTGGAGCACTGTGTGTGCAGTTCTGGGCCCCAGCGTTTAAGAAGGATGTGAAGGTCCTGGAATGTGTCCAGAGGAAGGCAGCCAAGCTGGTGACAGGGCTGGAAGGCATGTCCTGTGAGGAGCGGCTGAGGACTCTGGGTTTGTGTAGCTTGGAGAAAAGGAGGCTGAGGGGCGACCTCATTGCTCTCTACAGCTTCTTGAGGAGGGGAAGTGGAGAGGGAGGTGCTGAGCTCTTCTCCCTGGGATCCAGGGACAGGACGCATAGGAATGGTTCAAAGTTGCACCAGGGGAGGTTCAGACTGGACATGAGGAAGCATTTCTTTACCGAGAGGGTGGTCAAACCCTGGAACAGGCTTCCTAGAGAGGTGGTGATGCCCCAAGCCTGTCAGTGTTTAAGAGGCATTTGGTCGATGCCCTTAACAACGTGCTTTAACTTTTGGTCAGCCCTGAATTGGTCAGGCAGTCAGACTAGATGATCATTGTAGGTCCCTTCCAACTGAAATAGTTCAGTTCTGTTCTATTCTATTCTCTTAATCGCTTTATCTCTCATGAATTTATTCAAAGGGTCCCAATATAGCTTAAACAGATTTGATTCTTTATTAAGTTTGCATTTGGGGGCCATAATTGGATCCACTTGTAGGAGTGCAAATCAGGAGCAACTTCACTGAAGTCCCTGGCAAAATCTGAGTGATAGCTTAATAAGATTCTATGCATAAAAAGAACAATCTAAGTTCCTTGCTCAAAAAAGTCTTCATACTGCCTTCATGTGGGGCATGAATGTCTCATGTTTTTATTGCTGTATTAGATACAGATACATATAATTGCATCAATACATGCTGTATACAACCAGCGTGCTCTGTGTCTTTTCTCTTAGTGCAATAGCATCAATCTTACGAGCCTGGCTTGATCAGTGCTCTGAGGATTTCAGAGAGCCACCCAACTACCCGTGTTTGCTGAAGTTGCTGGATTACCTGAAGAGGAATATACCTGGCTCTGACCCGGAGAGGAGGGCACAGAACCTCTTGGAGCAGTTCCAGAGCCAAGAAGTGGAAAACGATGGTAAGTTACCTTTCCCTTCTGTCTTTCTGTTCTCCCAGACCCTATGGTACTGAAGGGATTTATGTGGAGTACACTTCATTAACTCATGCTAATTGACAATATTGTGAAGTTCACCAGTGACTTATTTCTAGTTTATTTAAAAAAAAAATCTCTGTGTGAGGCTACAGGTTCTGTGTGGGATGAAATAGTCGCACAGTGTAGGTGTCCATGCCTGTTCATTCTGGGGTGGATTGGGAAATCCAGCACTTCTGTAATTTTTAGCCGAAACTTTGAGATTGCTGCAGCAACTAAGTGGTTAATTGTCAGCATACTTCCCATGTCATTGAATTAAAACCCACAGCCGCTCTTTAGCTGGTCTTCTCATTTCAATACCTGCCTATCCCCATCCCCCCCCCCCCCCCCCCCAACAACCCCCAAAAACAACAAAAAACAAAATACAGAGCTGTGACAAAATACAGCTTGAGTCACAAGCCTTGTCGTCATGAAGCTTTTCTTCCTAGTTACCATCATGTCAAAGGAAGCGTCTGTGGCTGTTTTTTCCTATTTGAGTGGCCGGCTGCTGGTATCCAAGGACAGAGGAAAAACTTACGTTATTGGGGGTCACAATCCACCGAAACAATAGTGGACTGTAGTAACACAAATATGCTGTGCATAGTGTCAAGCCTGACACATACCCTTATCCTGGTCAGAAAGCTTCCTGTGGCATAAGCTGAAAAGTCGTAGGAGCTCACATAGTGTGTGAATGAGAACTAGAATCAACTTCCAGTTTTCACAGAGGGGCAGAGGGAATAATTCATGTAATAAAGGATAAAGGAAATGACAGAAAAGAAACATTTCATCCCATAAAAATCATGCCTGCCGGATGTTCCAGAAATACCATGTCAATGCATAATACTGTGAAATGCCAAATTAACTCAGTCATTAACATTAAAAGGAGTACTGCAGAGAGCCCAGGCATTTTCCTTATTGAACACAGGTAAGTGAACAGGATTGCTAATATGTGCCTATTGCTGTCCTTTTCTTGGTTTGGTTCCCACAGGTCAAACAAAGAAAGCTCACGAGAGCTATATTTGGGTTCAAAGTGAACAGAAGTTCCCAGCAGCCCTGTTTCTGCATTTGTTTCCTCAAGTAACAGTTGAAAAGGTCCTTTTCTGAGTTACAGAGTGGTCAGTTTGAATGATAACATTTTCCAAATTGTGGCAGAATAGAGGCTGTTAATTAGAATAAGATGAGGAGAATGCAATTAACCTGTGGGGTCTGCAGAGAAGAGTTTTAGAATTGTCACTTTATCAGAGCTCCATCTGTGTTCATTTCAGAGATTTCTTTCAAAACTCTTAATGTGTTGTCTGCAATCAAGACTTGCTGATAATTATTGTTCTAAAGCATTCATATTGTGCTTTGAATTTACAAATTTGGGTCTTAAATCCTACAGTTTGGTTTGTGTAATCAGACCTCCATTCAGTGCTGCCATCAGCCATGCCAGTAGATTAGATTCCAGTACCAGATACACAGATAAAAGCTGTTCCTGGCCTCAATTCTTGCAGCTTGAGCAATACAAAGCGAGGTGAGTCAGAGACTGCAAATTCAGAAGAGGCACATGGTTGCTCTCAGTGAAGTCAAGAGGGCACCTGGGCTTTGTGAGGGCTAAATGGATCCCAGTGGTTTGAAGATGTTGAGATATTTGAGGACAAGAGGATTCCAGCTTCGCGGAGAGTAGGGAAAAGACTGGTTACACATTTATGAAGGTGAGAGAGAAAGGAGAAAAAGAGGCATTAAAAAAGAAAAGGAAAATCTTGTGTTGCACTCCAGGACTTGATTTTATGGGTGCTGTGGGGTTTTGAGTAAGGTTGCAACTCTTTCAGTGATGAGGATTTTCAGTTGACTTTCAAGAGCTGAAAAGAAAATGAGGAGTTACATAGCCAAAAAGAGAAAGAAAAAAGTGTGATTCTTAACACGTCTATAGAAGTCCATTTAATTATGCATATTGTTACAAAACAGCCACAGAAAAATAATGCTGAAACAGAGGTCTCCATTTATCGCGTTTAGCTCTGTCAATAAATTGTGCAATTGAAATCTACAGATGGAAATTTGGATACAGCCTGTAGTAATAATTTGTTACATCAAAATTGTAGCAGTTTACATTGACGATTAAGTTTTGCTAATTAATGAAGAAAGGAAAAACGAAGTACTTAAAAAAACAATGAGGAAGTATCACTTTATCTGCTTTTGTTGCTTCAATGTCTGTTCTGCTTTAATTGGATATGAAGTATTGCCTAACATACTCTGAAATGTGCTGCTTGTTTTTGTTAATGAAATCTCCCTAGTAGGAAACTCAGTACTTTCGCTGTTAGTCTTTAACAAGTTCATTTTTTTTTCCTGCCTTCTTATGGAGTTACTGTTGCCTTACAGTAAAAGGGATTAGGAAGAGGATTTATTTTCAGGCATTTTCCATTTGACTTCCTCCTCTACCATGGGAAACAAGGGCATATTTCTTTGTGTTTCAATGTGGCTTTGTTCCCAACCTGTGGGAGCCAAAAGGTGACATGGGAACATCTGTGAAATCCCTTCCCTTCTACACTGCATCAGGTCCCTTGATGAGGCCAGGTCTCCTCTCTCATCTCTTCACTGCTGCCCAGTGCAAATTTAGAAGAAGCATTCAGGTGAATGCTGTAGGTGCTCACTGTATTCCCGTTCCTGGGAAAAATTCCCAGAGAGGGAAGGTGAGGGATGCTGGAATAAACTCTCTTCAATATAGTCCATGTAGCCACAAATGGTGCCAAGAAATCTGATATCTCCTTTTATTTCCATACATGGGAGATGAAATCTGGATGTAAGAGCATTCCTAATGCAATATTTTGGGGATGTAACTGCAGTCTTGTCCCTTTGCAGTTTGATTTTTTCTTTTCAGACTATAAAATGCGTAAATACTGAGAAGTAGATTAACAAAATCCTGCAGCATTAATAAGGAATTTTAGTTGGGGTGTGTGTGTTGGTTTTTTTTCTTTCAGAAGAATGGTTAGAGAATGGGTTAGAGCCACTTCTCTGCTAAGAGACCCTGAACAGCTCAATTCTCTCTAACTATTTATTTCTCTTCCAACTTTTTCTTTGCCAATTTAATCTTCTGGTCATCATCTTTCTCACTAAAATATGCAGCACAGTGGGGCCATTACATCAGGCAGGACCCTTTGAGCATTCTGCTATAATATATACCGTGATGTTTTAAAATAAACAAACATCTGCTTTGATTCACTGTTTGCTGTATAAATTTACTAAATCATGTTTTCCATCCTGGACAGATGGGTTCCATAACACTTTCTCCTGTAACCTATTTGATGAAGTGGAACTGGACATCAGCAATTCAGAAGAATTCTCTTTTTTCCAAGAAGACCTTGTGGCAGAACAGTTGACATACATGGATGCGGTATGTAGAGTATATGTACTTCTTGAAATGCTAGGGGGAATAGTGCTGGGCTTCTAATTTTTTTTTTTTTTTTTTAATTATGTCAATATAAGTATAGTGTTCCAGAACAGGTCTGTTGTTGGGACACAGGACACAGCGCTGCTTGGTTATCCAAACTTGCTTCATTTATTGGGCTTTTTCCTTCAGTCATTCTGAAGGTTTGTTTCTTTTTAAAGAAAAGTGTGAATGTATATTGTGTAGCCTTTTTGCAAAGTTTAATATTTGACACCTGAGAAATAGCACATTTTGACTATATTGCTGCCTGGCCTAAAGATGTATAGGCACTCTTAACTGCTGTGCTCTGATTTGGTTTGTCTGTATCGATATCCTTCAAAATATCATTATGTAAAAAATTTTCCCCTTGGTTATACAACTGATAAAAAGGTGTCTCTTATTTTTGCAGGACTATTTAGCTGACAGTTCTTTTAGGGCATCACACCTATAAAGAGTATGCCAAAGTGTATATTTTAAATGAAGAGAAAACAAATATTTACCTTTTAATACCGTATTAGATTTGGATCCAATTTGTACTGTAAACATACCTTTCTTCTTGTGGACAATAGAGATCTAGGAGAATCCTGCTGACTTAGAGACCTCTATTTCACTCTAGAAACTCTTCAAGAAAGTTGTGCCCTACCACTGTTTGGGATGCATCTGGTCTCGAAGGGATAAGAAAGAAAACAAGCACCTGGCACCTACCATCAGAGCCACCATCTCTCAGTTCAATGTAGTTACCAAATGTGTTGTCAGCACTATCCTGAAGAGCAAGGAACTCAAAACACAGCAAAGAGCCAAGATCATTGAGAAGTGGATTCATATTGCACATGTAAAGCATTTATTCTAGACTGTTTAATGTTTCTTGTGCAGGTGCCTTGGACTGAGGGAGTTGGGAGGGGAGAAGGGGGTTGTATGCATTGGTGCCAGGCCAGCGAACATCTTGGCTCTAATTCTTCCTATTTTTGACTTGACTTTCTTTGTAATAGCAGATGAAGTATTGGCCTTCCTCTCCTTAGTTCCTTGCCCACCGTGGACATGGTGTTGATGCTTCTTTTCACAGGGTTGGGAGTTCTAATTAACGGGTGAGGCAGACACTGTGTCTTGTAGATGGGAAGTGCTGTATACTTGATAACGTAACATTTATGGTAAGATAGGTATAAATTCAACCAGTTCACTTCCCTAGGAAGAAAATAAAATACTGCTCACAATAGTGAAAGCAGTGAAGTGATTGCTGGTATCATCCAGAGGTTAGACTTGTTTTCAGAGGAAAGTTTAACAAGAATGGAGTAGGACTGGCAGTGGTGCACGCAGCGGGCACAGTCAGAATAAGCTTTGTGCTTACCTGCCTTTGGTCATTCGTGTTCAGTCAATGAGCATCATGCTCCCTCTCCTGCATCTATGAACACCATGGGAGTTGAAATCAGATATGGTGGAAGACAGCACAACTGTTTGGGTTTTCATACATTTATATATATGTGTGTGTGCGTGTGTGTGTACATATGAAAATAAAGTAAATACAAGGTTTTAAGTAAGTGCAGACAAAGCTAACTTACTTCTAGGAAGTAGTAGCCTCCTTAACATGGAAAAAATGTAATTATTGTTTGTAGTCTTTTGTTTTGAAAAATTCTTGAGCCTGAAAGGTCGTTTGCCTACTGAGTTATTCATGGTTTACATCAGGTATACAAACCAGCTGGGTTAGGAGGGGATAAGAGGTGCAAGCAGTGACCACAAAAAAAAAAAGTAGAGTTACAATATGGTACCAGTCTCCTCATGTTCTTACATTTCTGCTTTATCATTGTCTCACACGTTTCTCTAACACATTTTTACTCTTTGCTTCAATTCCTTTGTCTTGTAGCAGATTGTGTGTTTCTTAATCTTTGCATGAAAGGGTTTTGCATGCCTTCTTTACATAACACTAGTTTGCTAATTTCTTAGATTTTTATCTTTAATATTTTACTGTAACCTTTTGAACTCCCCTCAGAACACTGGGCAGCTGGCAGTAAGCTAGATCTCTCTTTTGAAGAGAACATTTAAAGCACTTTCATAAGGATGTGTGTTGACTTTTGTTTTAAGAATCACATGGATTCTTTCTGAGCTATATGAAATAAGCAGTCATAAAAAGCTCAAGCCAAACAGAGGCTTTCCAACCTTGACAATGCACTTCTATGCTTCCAGAGGCAGTATTGTTAGCCCTGGCACCTAAGCTCTGGCAACTGCATGGTTCAGGAAACTGGTATGAGGAAGTAGTCTTTCACCTCTCTTTTGGCACTTAAGTTGACTCATTTTTGTTATCATCTGATGACTGCTTTATAGCCCGTGTGAATTGATTAGGAAGTTGATTCCTGTTTTCTGCGTACAGGTCTTTAAGTTGCAGAGGGTACTGGCTAACGGGGCCTTTATGGGGCAGCCTGGGCTGCAGCCTGGGCAAGCAAGTATGAAGCAGCTTCCTGCTCATCATGGGTCAGCAGGGAGGCCCAGGGATGCTAGGACAGGCATCACTCTCATCATACTTGTTCTGTGGAGGGAGAACTTTGTTCTCCACCTCTGTTGATTCAGTACTTCTCCCTTTATTTAATTCACACGCATAATTAAATACTCCAGTCTTAGCTAAGAACATGAAAAATGCATGTGCACGCTCTACAAAATAATTGCACATGTAGAACAGCTAGTTGCATATATACTTAGCTGCCCACTTCTGAAGAAAGTTACTTGCTTCAGGCTTGCAAATGAGTGTTTTGAATAGTTAGATGCCTGAATTAGAAAATAATCCACTCATTAAAGTGCAGTTATTCACTGACAGCTAACTCTGTAACTTAGAAGCATGGAGTTTCACAGTTGTTATCTGTTCATGACTTTTGGATCCAGTTTCTTTGTTTACAAGATAAACTGAATACTTTTTCTAACTGCCAGCCCTCTCTGCTCCACCTAGATCTAAGGTTCCTGAGCAGGAGCAGCCAATTTCACTCACACAATATTTTCTTTAAAAATAAAAAGTAAAAATGAAATCATTAATATCCTGTTATGCTTAATTCTTTTAAATCAAAGTTGCTTCTGCACAGGATTCTTTCTGGTTTTCCCCTTGTGAAGGACACAGCATGAAACAAAGTTACTCAAAGCAGTCTTAAAAATTCTTCTTATATACAAATGAAAGTTTGCTAAAGTTTAGTCTGCAGTCAGTTAAATCATTGAGAACACAAAATCCAATATTGATTTCCTAATGTGCTTTAAATTATGCAAAGTGCAAATAAGTCAAGATGGTTCCAAATTGGATCTTCTAGTCCAAACTCCTGTTGTATTTGAAAAAAAGAAATGCTGAGAATTTGTGTCTCTAAATCCATGTTCTCCCCAGCCTGAATTTCAAGTTGAACATAAAGAAAGAAGGGTCTTATTCTTAAATGTGTCAGTCGCTGAAGAAGAGCTGTTAGGTGTTTTCTTTGGCCCCAGACCATGAAAGAATAACTTTCAGGTCTTGCGCGTCCTACCACATGATCTTGAACTTGATCTTTATCTAGTCTAACTGCCAACCTGCTTCAACTGCTGTCTGTCCAGTCAGCCTTCTTAAGCCACACTTTCTTAAATGTAGCCTTCTGAAGTTGCACAATTTTTTTTTTTATTTTTTTTTTTTTAGGTTAATAAATGAGAGTAAATGTACTTGCCTTAGTTGTTCAGTCAATTTTAATGCAACTCATGAACAGAGTTGCTGATATATTAAGGTCTGACTTTTGTTTATGCTAAGGTCGCTTTACATTTGTTCAGTCCTACAAAGGAAATAAATTATGTCTATTTTCACTCTAGGGATCCTTTATATAATCAGCGTTACTAGTGTAATAATCAGCCCCATAAAAATTTGCAGAAGCAGAATTGTAGTTTGAATACATTCTCATCTACATGCAACAGTCAAATTGGCATGTGTTTTGTCTGCTTAATTTGCATGTACAGGCACCTGTTTGTAAGAGCTTGTATTTGCAAGAGTTTCTTAAGTTTGTGGTGCCCATGCTCTAGTTCATGAGCCACCAACAGATTTACGGGAGTTCCTTGAAGAGTCAGAGGCCAGACTTTCCTCCTCCTCCTTGCTTCCATCTGCTTTACGAGGAATCTGTGCTATTTTTTTGAGAATTAAGTTTTTCAGTATTCTTCCATCAAAGCTTTTGCCACAGAGAAGCTGCATAAGAAATGTTTATAAACCAGTCTCTCTGTTAGGATTTGATCCCAACTCTGGAAGAGCTGGGAAGGTTTTTCTCTTTAACAGTGTGCACATACTTGAATAACAGGTTATTCCTTTGCATGTCTTTATTTTTAATTGACACTTAGATGATTGAGGGTTTACATTTTTAATACTGTATACAAAGAGCCAAAGCCTGGTTTTTCCCCTAAAGGGTAAAAGGGATTGGTAACTATAAGGAGCTTTTTAAGAAGTGTAACATTTGTGCTTTTTAGCCTGGCTTCATGGAGTCAGTTCTACTTTTATTTTTACTAGGAGAACTGGAAGCTGTAATACTGCAGCATCACCACAAAGACATGAAAGTGAGGAAAACAAGATATAAGTGCCAAAGCCCATAAAGTGTTTGGTGGCTGGAGGGGGGAGTGATATTTTTGATGCTCAATATTTGTACAGCTGCCTGCTTAGCAGTGAGAATGTGTAGCAAGCATGACACCAGTCAAACAGAAGAGTACTAACGTATCCGTAATGCTGATGTTTAATGCTCCTGTATTTCTAACCGCTCCTTTCACAGGAATGTAGGATCCTGAAGAATTTTTCCTCCTTGAGGGCCATCGTTTCAGCACTGCAGTCCAACTCCATCTATAGGCTAAAGAAGACCTGGGCGTGTGTTCCAAAGTAAGCCTCCCCTTCCAGTCCTGTGGCTAGCCCCAAACAAAGGCAAAAAGCTCAGTACTCTTTCTTTTCATCTTGTTCTTCTCAGCCTTCCTATTCTGCTCCTTCACGGACATCTGTTCTCTTTGAAGAACCTCTCATTCCTGTGAGGCTGAGACCCCTTTTTTGGGTCTGACTGCTGTGAGCTCCTCTTTTATATTGAGGGGACAACCTGCTCTCAGGGATACTGGGTCTCTTCTGTCCTTTATAGCATATTGAATCTTCCACAACCTATTTTGGAAAACTACAGGACTAGCTACTCACCCAGCTCATGCACACCGCTCTCGGAAGGTCAGCAAAAGGGCACCATGGTACTTGCCTGTTGTCTTCTCTCCTCTGAAGTTGGAGGAGGTCCAGGTTGCCACAAACCCTCACTAATCCTCTCCTGGTCCTGACATTTCCTTAAAATATATCCTCAAACTACAAAATCCAAACCTGTATTGAAGACAATTTTTCTCACGGGGAAATACCTATTTGTGCAACTGGCATATTTACTGCATGCCAAACAGACACCAGAAATCTCTGTGTGGGAAAGAGGGTGTTCTGCTCATTCAGTTTGGGAAGAATAGATTTCTTTCCTTTGCCTTTGATAAACAAAGAAAAATGTCACTCTGCCACACAGTATACTTCTGCATTTCCCCTAGAGAGAGGTGGGTCTTTCCTTCCGCTGCCCTGTGTTCCTGTTCCTGATCAAAATATTGCCGTCTTGTGTTTATAGTGTTGGGCAATAGAAAGGGACTCATACACTTAAATGCTTCTAGCTTCCCAGAGTGCATGGAACAGGGCAAAACCGGAGTACTTAGGATACCTCTCTCAGCTATTTTTCTGTTCCTTTGTATCCATTTACCCACTTTCTTACAACAGTCTCATACCCTGCAGTGTAATTGAAAACCCTGCTCGGGGTCTGCGTACCTATGGTATTTCTTTGTGAAGCTGCCAAATAAGGTGAAACTTTACTGGGAGCACCAGAAGATCCCAGGAAGGTTCCTAGTAGTTGTGCAGCATCCCATTAGAAGCATTTTGTTGGTGTTATCTTTTATATGCCCAACTGTTAACGATTCATGAGAAAAAATAGTAATCTGATCTGATTTAGAGTGCTTACTAATAACCTAAATGATCTAATCTTTTCCTATACAGGGACATAATGCTGATGTTCGAAGAGCTGTCTGATATCTTCTCAGACCATGACAATTATTTGACAAGCAGGGAGCTGCTAATGAAGGTAAGAATTAGCTTGAGTTGCAAGGCTTGTGATCTCAATTAAAGCTGAAGTTAGCCCTTTTTCTAACAAGCTGCCAAAGCTTATCTCTCCCTGAACTACTGCATGTGGTGCCTCAGGGAAGATAGGTCTGTAAAATCTGTGCTTTTCTGCTGGGCTGAGAGGTGATTTCATTGTTCCTGAAAGAACTTACCCTAGCATTAGCCTGTTGAGCTCCGATACCCACATACAGCAGGCTGCAGCAGCACAGATTCTGTGTGGACTTGTTCACAAGACAGCAGTTCAGGACCCCTTGGAGCCCCTCAAGTTGAATGTCACACTGGTGTAGTTAGGTAACAGGTAACGCTCCCTTGGGCATGGTGATGTCTGGCTCAAGAATAGCTGTGTGCACTGTATCATACCAGTGATAGTGCTGGAGCCACAACCAGAGTGAAGAGGTGCTGCACAGTGTAATTTTACTGAGATGAGTTACAAATTAGCACTTTGGCTTTATCCTGCTCTGTATAGAGAGATGAACCGCTAGCTTGTGCACCCTCTGAGCAAACCTCAGGAAAAGGCTCAGGTTTGCATTGATGAGTGCAGAGCAACTCCAAACAAGATTCTCCACTGGATTGCACCACTGTAGTGCTTTTGACTTCACTGGAACAATGCCACTCAGCTTCAGCTGAGGAATTAAACCAAGATGTTTATCTGGCTATCCCGTACCTTTCTTGGAACTTGAAAACAGGGCTGGGAATTTTGAAGGAACAGGCTTCCTGCTCTGTGTGTGGCCAGATGGACAACAAAGCAGGCTCTGTCTGAAACAGTTTGACTTGTACGGTCTCCTGGGCGAACCCCAACAAGCTCAGGAGCTTGAAAGGAGTGAGGAAGAATAGCAGGGAAAGGTTATATTCTGTAGAAACTAAGGAATGTTTGTGGCAGTTTTTTCTGTTTACATAAAAAAGTTTCTATAAACTGGCTAACCAGTTTACTTTTTAGCAGTTCTATCCAAGTCAATCTGGCATTTGTACCTTACCCCCTTGCCTTGGTATCTAAAACACTGTGTTTTGCTCAGGAATGATGGATGAACACATTCAAACCTGTCGGTCTGTTTTGTTTATCATCAATTTATCAACATCTGTAGCTAAATTTTAAAGCAGGTGGGACAATAATAAGCGTAGAGGGAAAATGTCTGTTCAGAACAGCTTATTTAACTAAATATTAAAAAGACAAAACAACAACTCAATCTGAGCCCAGACCGTCTGGCTCCCAGCAAATCACTCTCTCCAGCTGCTGTAAGTAGATTTGCAAAACATTTTGAAAGCAGTGAGAGGAGAAAAATTCCACAGAATAGCTAGAACCTGTCTCCTACTTCTTGTCTTGGACCGTTTTGTAATGATTGGAGGATTAATGTCCACTGAATCCTTAAAGTCTTTGTTTTCTTTCACTATAAATAGTCTCTCTAGGGAAGTTGTGTTTGACCTTGCCTATCCATCCTGCAAATTTAAGTGTAGAGCAGACAAAATGCCATATGAAACAGGTTGGCCAGCACAGAGAGGGAGTGCTCTGTTCTCTCCTCCCCAAACAACAGCTCTGCTGCAAGCTGAAGTTTTAGCTTCTGTGCCTGCCTGCCGGCTGCTATTAGAGAATCTTGAGTTTACCTTTCAGTATCTTGAAGACATTGAGACAACACTCCTTTTTCATTTGCTCCTGTTTTTCAGCCGAGGAAGGAAATACAGTTTGAGTGATCTGTTCATTAACTGTGACTGAGAGAAGTAAACATTGTAATGAGAGGATCTTTACAAGTGCAGGCTGTTGTTTTGTGCCTCTTAAAAAGACATTGATAATGATTCATGCCCCATCTGTCCGACCACTGGAAAAAATAACAGTAACTCCCAGCATCCCGTATGGAACCAGGGAAATAAAGGCTACAGATCTATTGTGAAATAGCTCATCCATTCATAGGAAAGCTTGAATTGTGGAGATGAAAACCTATTACTTTCATTTCCTGCGTGTTTTTGGATTAGTCAATAAGCCACAGTGGGTAGTTGCTGGATCTCTATGTTGTGGCATAAGAAAAACAACAAAGCATTACATAAGATAGAAATGTTTACTTGTAGCTGTCCCGATTAGGAAATTAAACAGAAATCCTGAGGTCAAGAGTGTCAGGATAGAGTTCAGAGAAGCATCTGGCCACCTAAAGTATGTCCTAAGCTTCTCTGATTTAAACTCTCAGGAGATTTTCAGCAGCACTTAGCTTTGGCCAGAGTAGAGCCATTTTGCAGAAAAATTCCCTTATAGTCATCCTGTGGGATTTTGTCCAAAATTCCCAATCAGTGTTTGAGTCCCAGAAAATTAGCACATGTACGTATACGTGCATGTACCTGCACAGCAAATACGTTTGCTGGCCTAGCTTGCCTGGTTAAATATATCTGCAATTATTTTACACAGACATAGTTGCCAGCTTACTACTTAGCTCCTCCATTAATTGCCTTTAATTCCCTTTTAAATCACAGGAAGGAACATCCAAATTTGCAAATCTGGACAGCAGTGTGAAAGAAAATCAGAAAAGGACACAGAGGCGACTGCAACTTCAAAAAGATATGGTGTGTTTGGGGTCATTTTCCTCCGCTTTTTGAACTGGTAACATGATTAACCCTAACTGGTGAATTATATAAGAAGCAAAATCTAGAAAGGTATTTAAGAAAGCAAGTGTGCAGTAGGTAATGCTTTTGAATGTGCCCTCTGTCAAGAAAAACAATCACATCAATGCTATTGATTAGCTGATACAAAGCAAGTGAACTGAAAGATTTAGACTGAATATGCAGTCAGAATTTTTGTCCCTGTAAATATGTGTCCAAAGCTGTATTTCCCTTATGCTGTGGATCATAGTAAGCAGGTAATACTCTGTGTGTGTAAGTATAATGTGCATATATATAGACAATCCCACACAAGCATACATCTGTATATATAAACTATTACAAAGTGGGATTTGTGCTGCCCCCAGCTCAAGCTGTATTGCCTACACTGAGCTACCAAGCTGTAACAGCTATGGTTTTTAGTGCAACCCAGCTGTCCTTTTACTCCAGTAACATCCACCTGTGTACTGAAATGCTGGAGGAAATGGATATGCAAAGCATCAGCATAGCCAGCGCATTCAGTGATCTGATGCTGGCAACACTCAAAGATTTCAGGATTCAGTGGATGTACTCAGGGGCCGCGTTATGTTCCCTGGCGCCAGTCTTCCCCTGTCCCCTGCAAGGGGATAACTGGGTGTATAGTTTTGCTGCTCCTGTCCCCACTGCATTTGCTTCCCATCCCAACCAGCTGTTCGGGATGGACACTGAGCCAAGGGTTTGGTCTTAGTTTCAAGTCTTCCAGAAATTCACTTAACCTGTCATATAAAAGGGTAAAAAATGATTGATGAATATAAACATGTGTTCATCATTTTCAACTGTCTTGTTTCTGTCCTACAAGAAAGAATTCCTTTAACTACTCTTGTTACCCTTTAGAGAGAAATATTGGGAAAGCCACACAATTTTCATGTAGTAAAATAGATAATATAAGTACTGGAATTCTCGTGATAAAGCAAATTAGCTCTGGCCAGAGCAAAAATCTCATTTACTTTTAAACAAGCTCATGAAGCTTCTGATGTACCAGCTTAAAAATTGCACAGACTTCTACAGAGATTGCTTTGTAAAATGCGTCTGGTTTCCAGTCTGCTGGTGAAAATGGCTTTTGTCTCAAAGTTGGCAAAGATTTAAAAGGACAGGGGGAGAGAAATCTGGGATAGGGAGGCAAAGTGGTGAATATGATTTTTTGTTTGTCTATTTGTTTGACTGGAAAAAATAGGGATCCTTTTGGATGGTAGAAACAAGCATTTCCTTCACAAGTGTAGAAGCAGCCTGAACTCTACAACTGCTAGCAGTCTCGGAAATTTAAAATTTTAATAATTACTATTAAAATGCAATGAATGGCTGGAGAAGATGGTCACTTCTTGGAGGAAAAAAACTGTGACTTGATTTGACTTGACTGTCATGTGGTGTAAGAACATCATTAAGTAAGAATCCAGTGGAATGAAGCAGAGAGAAACTGCTTACACAGGACCATTCCCCAGCTTTCTCTTGTAGCAAGTAACTGAGGGACCCTGTCCCTGGTGCTCAATGCTTCTTCCACAAGCAGGGTTTCCTGGTGACCCACAGTTAGAAATCAGTGTATGGTGGCAATATTGTAATATAAAACAACTTGGCAGTATCTGTGAGAGCATCCTGCTCTCATTAGGATTTGATTTAAATTCTAGATTAGATACTGAAGATGATGTAATGAAAGAAAACAATTTATAAGACCGCTGTTTGGTTAAGCAGACTACTTTTATTTCATTTTCTTATACAGGAGTATTCTAGCATTCTAATTTTTACCATTTCTCAGTCAATTAATCCAACATTGCTCTGATCATTTGCAGGGAGTAATGCAAGGCACGGTACCCTATCTTGGTACCTTCCTCACTGATCTCATCATGCTTGACACAGCCCTTCAGGACTATATTGAGGTAATTGGGGGCAATTTTTTGAATCCAAAATAGCCTTCCTGCCTTCCCAGCACTGAGTGTGTCTGTTTCTGCATCTTCTACTGGGTTCTTACGCAGTTCTTAAAAATGGAGGAATCTGTTTTCAAAAAAAAAGGAAGCAATATGCAGTTTTACTAGCAACAAGAATCTTGTGTGAATTTGAGTGCAGTTATCTCAAGGGACAACCTTAGCATTGTATTTTGTCTTGTTTCCTTAGGTTAGAAAATGTGAAGACAGTAGGCTTTCCATTATTCTCTTTTATTTTTCTGAAAACATTTTAGGTGTAAAGATTTCTGTGACTAATTGGTAAAATACACAGAATCATAAATTCAGCTCTTCAGACTGATCACTGAAGTGCTTCAGTATTGACTTGGATGCATCTGAGCCCTAAAGTAATTAAAGATTGGGTTTTTTCATTTCTCTTTAGCTGAACAAGCAGGGGGAACCAATCTAGCATAGGAAGGGAAAAAGGATTGCAAAAGAGTCTGGTTGTTTAACAGAGATTGAGGATGGGGCCAATTGGTTTTCAAACACCTTTGAAAATTGGCCCCTATTAATGGAGACTCTTGAGGAGCCATGTTGCAGGTGCTCAGCCTTTGTTGTGCTGGTGTTGATATTTATGACAACAATGGGCAAATACACTTCTCCCTGGGCTGGTAATAGTTGCTGGTTTGTTCAGTGATTGTTTGTTTTGCAAAACTGTACTAAAGCAGGCATGTGTAAGGTTGCTATATATCCATTTTCTTTTTGGCAGTTTCCCTTCTGTCCATGCTTTATGTTCAGTTGATGAACACACTCACTGGGAACACTGCTAAACTCACAGCACAGGCAAAAGCCAAGTTTGTTTCTTGCATGCAAAATGCTCCTAGCATTCTTCAGATCTGATCTCGACACAGCTTTTATGAGCATTCTTGTACTGGGCTTCTCTTCTTGGGCAGATTGCCATTTAGACCATGAAGACAGATATCCTTTGGAGACTCGGATGAGTACTGTGGTTTATACCAGATCTGGAATCAGGTATTTTTAGAAGGTCCTTGCTCAGGGCAGGTCTGTGCTTTACATTAGCCTTTGCTACTTCATCCTGTTTGTGATTAAATTCAACTGAGCATGTGCTCTTCTACTCTGATCCCTTCTCTTTCCTTCCAACAGGGTGGCCTGATAAATTTTGAGAAGAGGCGAAGGGTAAGTTGAATGTTCTGTGATATTTTTTGTTTGTTTGTTTTTTGTTTAGTTTACCAATGCCCTCTTCTAGAGCATTCTCTTGGTGAGGCTATTTGTCTTTGCCTAGGCGTATACAACAGCTGCTAATTTTAATGCAGGTTTGTGAGGAAAATATAGATTCCCCAAAATGCTGTGAGCCTCTGCCAAACTGTGAGGGGTGGTGCAGGAAAAGAACCTACTTTTTAGATGTGTGCAGTAGGGGAAGAGGAGCTGCAGGCGACTTACTTCCATGGGATTTACATTTGGGGCATGCACACTCCCTGCATTTGGTGTTCATGGGAATACGTTACATGTGTATGTCCTGTGTGTTAAATCAGATCTAGTGGCATGAGACTTGCTTTCCAGAAGATACATTTTGTAAGTATCTTCCTTCTGCTGCAGTAAACTGTTTGTAGATAAAAGGCTGCAGAGAGCAAACTAGGTACACGGGACTGAGAAATAAATGCTACCAGTCTTTCCTTTCAGCCTGATCCTTGTTGGTCAGAGATAAGTAATGCTATGTAGGAGTAAAGGTACTAGGGTTACATCTGTCTGAATGAAGTTGTGCCAAATCTCCGTTCTGGGGTCTGAAAGCAGACTTGGATTTGGCTGTGATGGAGCCATTCCCTTCCCCTAACTGCTCCCAGCTCTACAAAACACTTCTTGGACTTGCCTTGTATGTATAACTACACAGCTCAGGATACTAATAATGTGACAAACGAGCTTCTCTGAAGCCATCAGTCCAGCTTCATACAAACCAGTGGCAAAGCTGTCCTCTGAACCACGCTGAGTACTCAGCTCCATTCCTACATCCTGATTCTATAACCTGCTCTAACACAAGGGCTTTTTAAGAATTATTTTGGCAAAGTGTTTATGCAAGTGGAGTTACAGAAGAGCAGCACATTTTAGTCACACATATTAAGGGTAGCGTTTTGTGTTCCTCTGGTGCAAGTGTGAGCGCACAATGGGCAAAGCTGGGGAGGATCAGACTTTGCTTTCATCACAGGCACCCCTAATTATTACCCTTGCTTGCTGCCTGAGAACCACCTAAAGTACAAAGCATGATTCCTCTCTCGGAGCTGGTCTGGCCAGTGCAGGGGTGAGCAGGTAGGATAATCTGAAGAACTTAGGATGCTTTGCTACCCTTGTTCCTAGAGGAACAAGCAACAGTGCTGCCGTTCGGTGGGGTTTGCATGGACATTACACTTCAGTTAGTACTTGAGAAAAGGTCTGTGGTGAAGTATGATTCCTTGTGTTTGTCTTCTAATTTGTGTGTGTCTGATAAAATGTTGACATTTCAATGCACATTACAGATGCTGGGGGAAAAGAAAAAAAAAGACTTCATTGTTTGAAGAACTGGTTCTTGAAATAGTAACTCAACTGAAACTGAACTTCAGGTCAAACTAAGTTTGTCTTGGATGTGTTGTTGCATGTGTTTAGTATGCAAATGAGTTTGTCTTTATCTTGTTTTCTAATTAAAATTCCTATTTGATTTTTAATTTTCTTAGGAATTTGAAGTAATTGCCCAAATCAAGCTCTTGCAATCTGCATGTAACAGCTATTGCATGACACCAGACCAAAAATTCATCCAGTGGTTCAGGAGACAGCAGCATTTAACTGACGAGGAGAGGTAGGTTCTCAGTACAGCTGGCGAAGCAGGCTTTTCTTACCCCCCACACCCACCTGCAGGTAGGTTATGCCAGCCTTCAGCTATCCTCTTACAGGAGCTTACATATACTGCTGCTCGAGGAGCGTGGAAATACATCTGCCTTCTGCTAAACAGCTGTAGAAAACCTGTTGAACACTGAGCAGGGTTTAGTTTTGAGACTGGAGATCAGGCTTCTGACTTTGAAATATGATAGTCTATGTCTGGGCTGTCTGTATGCCCAGACACACACTCTGAAGTCAGTCCTAAGGGATGTCAAGATGCAGTCACTGAGCATTCAGCTGGTGGATGCGGGCAGCAGGTAGCCAAGGCAACGCAGAGCTCACTGAGCACTCACCAGATGAATGTCTCCTGGGCGTTTGGGGAGGGTTTTGCAGCCCTGCCGAGTTCTGTGCTACTGCACATGCTGCTAGACCAACCCAAGACAATTTACTTACAGCATTTTAATATCTCCACTAGGTAGCTGAATATCACTCTGCTGCACAAAGAGTGTAAGCACAGATACATACTGCATTGTATTGAGTCGCAGTAAAAAAAAAAGTCAGTTTATCCAAAACTAATACGTTAAGTATTTTCTTGATTTATTTTTTTAAATAAAATGATGAATGTGATCCAAAAAAGCACTCGTTTTTAAAACTATTATGAAGAAGTGAAATATCCTCTTCACCATGGTAAAATGTAGACAGAGCTATGTTCCTCTTTGTGGGGTCGCAGCCTTCTGTGAAGTGGGAATAACTGAAGGTTTCTCGAATTTCTTGAATATTGCTACTTTGAGATATATAACTAAGAGTATTGTCTGTAAAAATTAACCCAGTGGCCTCTCTTCTGCAGTTACAGCCTTTCACGTGAGGTTGAAGCAGCTGCTGACACTAGCACCACATCGCCAAAATCTCGGAAAAGCATGGTGAAGAGGTTCAGCCTGTAAGTACAACGGGGCAAAGGGCGTTTGGTGTGTTAATATGGACCTGAAAAAAATCAAACAAGCAGTACTCATTTCACCAGCTGAAAAACCTGGCTGGGGAGCCAGACGACTGCTTTACTTTAAGTAGACACTATCAGCTAGAAATGCATACTTCTCTCTGAAGCTGTTCCTTTCTATTGTTATAAGTAGTCATGAGGATTATTAATGATGAAAGAGATTAGAAACAAACAAGCCTTCCTAAGGTGTCAGAAAAAGGAACAATTTTAGTGCTGGATTATAAATTCAGTATCTATTGTGTAATAACTTCCCTGAATGCAGTAGCAAAACAGAGTAAATGAGGATAAAGTCTGGCCTATTATTAGTCTAACTTGCTATACACATGCAAAAATTCCTTGCAGGATTTTAATATGAAAATGAAGGTTAGCAAAAAGGCATTTGGTAATAGAAACAATCTGCCTAACTGCCTTCAAGTTAGAGAATGAAAAAAATCATGGGGACATGGTCCAATTTAGTCTAATACTGCAAAGATTCAAACAGGAGGTGGGTGGAGAACAGGGGCGTGCAGCTAAGCAGACATGGGAAACAACAGACTAGCAGGAATTCAGGGAAACCTGCAGGGAATGAAAGCAGAGATCAAGGACTGAAGTAAAAGTAACTGAAAGGTGAGAAATTTGAACCTGATGTAAGAGGAGATATGAAGGGACTCCCGCATACCAGTGGCATGATCAAGATGAGGGGGGAAATGATGAATTTAACAGCACTATCAGCTCTTAACTCTCTTTCCTGCTTGGCTCTTGTACCTAGTTTCCTCAGAACAGCCAGTAGCCATTCACTTCATGTCAGCACTACTGCAGGTTAGGGTTTGAAAGAAGAATAGGCGTTTTCCATCTAGAGTTTTGAGTCCTGATACACAAAAAAAATCTGGGCAGCTGTTTGGAAAGTGTTTCAATTAGTCCATCGGAGTTGGTGGTGATATGCTATGAGAATGTGAGCTTTGAAGATGACAGTGCCTGAACCGTCGGTGGCCTCTCATTTGTGTCTCCCTTGGCGTGTGCCTAAGCTGTGCGTAAGAATCATTGCGGCGGAGCACAGGCTTTATTCTCTCGTTTCTGACTGTGTTTCAGTGCCACAGTATTGTAATTTACTGTACTGAGTTTGTTTCCACTGTGCAGTCTTTGTCTAAACAATTGTTTCATCTGCATTCTTAATGTGTTTTGTAAATTAATACTGTTGAAAAGACTGGCATAATTCATTCCGGCAACAGTGAGTGACACCTCTCTAAATTGTTTTAAATCATTAACTGCATGCTGACATAGCATATAATTCACCTTCCTTCTCTACTTTACGTATTATACAGGTTTGTTTCCTTTGACACTCCTTTCAATTTACTTGACCTGCATTTAGAAATGAGTCTCAGAGAGGGAGAGCCTATAATTTACACTTTCTTGTCATCTCCTCATTGTGTACATCTCCATTCAGACTCTTAGCGAGGGCACCTTTATTGAGTGAAAGAATTTGAAGAGGGGATGAACTTGCCTTTTGAAGACCTTTGCCTGGTGTATGGCCATGCGTTACCTTTCATGCACTGTTTCACTTACTCATGGCAACTAAGTAGGTCTTGAGCTGCCTTGTGTGAGAAGGACCAGGGAGTGACAGTAGCGTGCAGGAGCATGTAAGGTGGAGCCAGCTCCCATGCCTCTAACTTGCCCTTTGTCCCTTGGTTTGTAAATGCATGAGGTTTATGATCAATCATTTCCTAGCAAGTGAGTCTGAAAATTTAAAGACTGAGGAGGATTCTCATTTGTGATACTTCAGCATTAGCTCTGATTTTGGCCTTGCAGCTGGTGGGTATGCTAGGTCAAGAAGGTATTATGTTAGTGTGTAACAAACTCTTGACAAACCATATAAACAACATCGAGGAAATGAAAACAATAGGCCACTCAAGATAGGAAAACAAAACAATACATAAGATTTTTGAACCAAGTGACAGCTTTGCCCAGCTCAGGTCTGCTTTCACTTACTGGCTTTTATGGTTTCTTTTCTATACTAGCCTGTTTCTAGGCTCTGAGGTGATCGCCCATAGCACACCCATCAAAGAGCAACCCAAATCTACTCCAGGTGGGAGCTCTGGTGAAAGCACGGACTCAGCCAGCGTTTCATCATGCGAGTTTAATCACTCTGAATCTGAAGATGCCTGCAACACTCCCACAGGCACTCCTGATGAGCCTCAGAAAAAGGTATGGTCTGGGCCTTGTTGCCAGAATACATAGCTTGTGAGACACTCTTGACACTACAGGCAGCCCCTAGGCGCTTGCCCAAGCCTGTTGGTCTTGCCTAGAGCACTGCTTTTAGCAGAATGGAGAGACTCTAGAAATAAATGTGTAAAAATGGAAGCAATCCAGTCAGGATTTTTGCACAATCCCTTCTATGTTGCTGAGATACAAGTCAGACTGAAGTTCTCCTTCCCTGAAACTACATTTTCTTGCAGTGCCTGGCAGTGTTTTTGGTTTAGGTGAGGCCCTGGAGAAGCATGAGCTTAATTTTTTTTTTTCAGTCCCTCATTGTGCTTTTTGAGAGGGATGGGGCAGGCTAGCAGCATTTCTACCTTCGAGCCTGTGAGAAATGGTGTGAGGATCCTAAACAGCACGCTCGCTCATGGCACATGGCAGCACGATGTTAGTGGTGACACGGACAAGAGGATTTATAAGCCCCCACAAACAAAAACAAATGGAACAGAAGACAGCATTAGCTGAAGTGGAGCAAGATCAATAGCTAGTCATTTCCTCCTTGAATGTGTCAGGTTCGATGAGTTATTCTGCTGTTAGCAGCCTGCTGTTGTGTCCATCATGCTCAATCAGCTGTAGCTGGAAAAGGAAGTTTGACTTTAGCAGCTGTGTGCTCACCAAGGAAAGCCCAGCTGCAGTAAAGCTGTGCCTGCACTCCGGCGAAAGGTGTTTTCTGGGTGGAAAAGTATGTGTGCATTACTAACAGCCTAATCCTGGGGAAGGCAGAGCAGCTGCAGTTGACCGAGTGATAGGCAGGGAAGGTCAGAGCTCGCCACCCCCGTGGGTTTGAGCTCCCATGAACTCCCTGCTGCTAGCATGAACACCTTGCCTTGGCTCAGTTGAATTCCAGTGGGAAGTCAGTGTGCAGTGCAGTGCAGTGCTGCTGTGTCCGCCCCCCCCGTCCCCGTCCGTCCCCCCCCGCGCACACCAGCTCGCTCCTAGCACACGCAGCCAGTGTCTCACACAAAGGCACTGAACCGATGTGCCAGGAAATCCCTTGTTTGCAGAGAAGGCAAAGTCCCACACCCCACATGCTGGCAGCTGGGACACCCCATGGCAAAATGAATGTAAGGCTGAAGTTGAGAGTGTTCATGCTGAGAGCAGATGAGCCAGGCATGTGTCATTACCATCCAGAGAGACAAGCTGTACGGGCAGGAAACCAGCAGAAGGGATCTGATAAGGGGATCCACAGGGATGTCTTTCCTACAGACTCTTCCATTTTGAACTAAATTGCATTAACTGTACTGTTGAAGCCCTTCTCAGGGATGTTTTGCTGAAGAGTGTCATATTGGGGTTTAGCTTGTGGGTATTAAATTAAATTGTACTAAATGTTCTTAAACCAAATGAAGCATGAGGTCCCAGACACGGGCATCCATAAATCATTTAAACAATTTAGCTGGAGCAGTTGTTACAGTGGTTTCGATAAGCAAGTTGGAGAAGGAAGATAGTCTCGGCAGTTTTTGAGTAAGGCAGATGAAGTGAAAGGCAAAACCCTGAGCAGCAGAAGGAGGAAGGGGGCAGTTTCCAACGAGGAAAGACTACTCAAGGAGAAGTGGCAGACTGGGAAGCGTGTGTGTATTCTCACTCATGTAAAGGCTCCGACCTGGAGCAGGAGCAGCGGTGCCCACCATGCCCTCTGCTCTTTCCCAGCCGGTCCCAGTCCCTGGCCTGTTGCCCACAACCGGATTCTTTCTGTTCGTTGTATCTGCTGCCACCTCCTGGCCTGCTCTAACTGAGAGGCAAGAGCAAGCAACCCTCACCGAATTGGAAATAAGTTTCAACTGTAGTTCACTTTTTTCTGGAGGCAAGGAATACCATGCCAGCCTGCTGGACAGAGTGCAGATGATAGAGGTTTTATATATGCCTTCTGCTTTCTCAAGTTCTTCCTCCAGAATGACATGCGCAGACATACAAAATGTCCTGTTTATGACAATGTTTTTCTTTCTTTCTGTTGTGTAGCTCGCTGAATCCTCCTCCTCCTCTTCCTCCTCCTCTTCCCCCACCCATTCCACGGACACATCTTCCTCGGGGGTGTCATCTTTAATCTCATCCACTCCCTTGCCGTCCTCCAATGACAAGTGCTCTGTCTCCATGACACCCATTACCTCAAAAGTACTGCCTCCTGTTTACAACCAGCAGAACAAAGATATGTGCATCATCCGGATCAGCATAGAAGACAGCAATGGCAACATGTACAAGAGCATCCTGGTGAGTGGTGTGGAACAGCAAAATGCTGTTAGCATTGGTCGTGTTTTCATCCTGGGTGACTTAAACAAATGGTGCTTTTAGTTTTGAAAACACCTACTCACTGAGCGGACTAATCAAGCCTGGCTTGAAAGGGAAAATGACGAATGTTACAATTCAAAATATGTGGAACATGGTATGAATCAGAGGTTTGAAAATAGCATCTTTGTGGGAGTTTTGGGTCTTGAAATTAAAGCTTGTGTTTTATCAAAAAGTCAAAGTGAAGCATTCTGATCAAATGCAGGCTTTGCTGCTCCTGCCCTTCTGCTAGTGCTAGCTGGTTTTTCTCTAGCTTGGAATTTGTGCGCAAGTTTTGACACAAGATGCCATGTGCCAAGTTTTTCCCTGGAGAAGCTTCCCCCATGAGCTGGTTTCTAGAAACGGAGCTGTATGGGAGGAAGCTGACAAGCCCTTTCATTCTGCAGCTTCTCTCTGCGGCGAAGGTTGCCTGACCAGCAGCAGCCAGCGTTCAGGTGTTTCCCTCGACGCTGGTTCCAGGGGAGGGATTCTGGCAGTGCCAGGCCCACCACCAAGGGAATGCAGGGCCTGTGCTGGACCATGGGTGACGTGAATCGCCTGCACTCAATCTCTACAGATACCTGACAGAGACTCAGTTGCTGAGCAAACGCTTCAGGTCCTTCAGGGCCTGGGGGGAACAAACACACGTTTAGCTACCTTATGATTTTAACGGTCTGACCTTCCCCAAATCGCAAAGAGCCATTCCCCCTTCCTTTCGACTGTGTAAGGCTCTAGAGGGAGCCCTGTGTCTGCTCCGGATGCACAGCACTTCCACAGCAGACAGTAAACCCAGTTACAAGGCCAAAAATCTTTGCAGGATGTCAAAGTATTTAGCACAGGAGACTGCAGATTAATTGAGGTCTGCAAACAACAGATGGGGCAGCTATTTATGTGGACTTTTATAGCTAGTGAGAACAACACCTTGCCTCTCAAAGTGTTTGCTCAGGAGAGCAGACACTGTGATTTACTGCTCTCTCTTCTAGTACAGTATCGGTCATCTTGAACTAAAAAAACACCACCACCAAATGTCACAAATACCATGCTTTAGTATCTAGCAGTACCTACTACTTTGTTACTGACCCATCCTATTTTTTCAGTTTTCTGAAATCTTTTCCAAGACCAAGCGGTCTGCAGAAAGGCAGGCCTTTGCTAATTATTAAATCATATAGAGTGCATAAGCAGAATCTCTCATTGCAACTCTATCTTTCCAGCTAACTAGCCAAGACAAAACTCCTGCTGTCATCCAGAGAGCTATGTTGAAGCACAACCTGGAATCTGACCCAGCTGAGGATTATGAGCTTGTACAGGTCATCTCTGAGGACAAAGGTAGGGAAGCTTGAAAAGTTCTGCTGGATTTTGAAGGAAAGAGTAAAATGTGAAGCAACGTTAGAAATGCCACGGACACGTCACAGCTGCCAGTGAGACTAACCCCCCTCGATCACTGGTGTGCAGGGATGATTTATCATGGCCTGTCAGCACATCGCTTTACACAGGCAGAGTTCACTCGCGGGTTGCCAGGTACGCCTTCGTATGCGCACTGTGATGCAGAGCTATCGACCGAAGAGCAGCTGCTCTCCCTCCCTGAGCACAGTCTGCCACAGGGGCCGGGCAGGGTACGACTTCCCCACGGATCCGGGCAGGCCTGGATGCTACCACTGTCACTGGGCTGTGCAAACAGAGCTTTCGGCACAGCCTCCTCTGGGAGAGGCTGCCAGGGCCTCTGCCAGGCTGGACGTGGTCCGGGTTTGGCCTCCATCTCCTCTCCTCTGCGACCCTGCTCCCCCTGTTTTGTGGGACAGCTGCTGTGGGCACCACCCGAAGCAGCTCTGGCTGAAGCGGCACAGCGGAACAAGGAAAGGGGCCCAGCGCTGCCCAGCTGCATTCGTGCAGCCTGTTCACCCAGTCCCTCTTCTCTCCTGGCTTTCCTTCTGCTACGTGCGATACTGCCAATTAATGCTTGCTCTGGTCCCTCTTTTGCAGAGCTGGTGATCCCAGGTAACGCCAACGTGTTCTACGCCATGAACAGCCATGTGAACTTCGATTTCATCCTGCGGAAAAAAGCTTCGGTCAATGGACAGGTGAAAATGAGGGGCCGTTGCAGTCTGACACTCCCTAGAACTGCCAAACGGGGGTGCCGGAGCAACAGGCCCAGCAAAATTACAGTGTGAGGGAGACAACAGGCCAGGGAGAACTGGCTGAGAACTGTACCTTTGCTACCATCCAGTATTACAGAATGCCAGTAGATGAATGTGTCAGTATTCAACCTGGAAAAGATTTGAAGCTGAAATGCAAAGTGAACATTTGATTCACCTACAGCCAGCGATGCTTCTCCTTGCCCTTGCACCTGTATATGGACAGACAGACACGGATTTACGGGACAGTACAGACTGGAATTTTTTTTTGTTTTGCACATTAGCCTAGGAAGGCGAGAGCCCCAGTTAGAGGGGAAAATGGGACTGCAACATTTGTCTTAAGAACACCACACAAGCCAACTCTTTTTGTGAGAAAACATTTTCCTTTGTGCCAGTGTTATACAGAAGAAGGTCTAAATTTATTTTTATAAAACTGGAGAAGAAAAGTCTCAATACAATTCTGCGTGAACCAAGAAGGAGATCTCAGCCAGCCTCCAGCTGACTGACAGGAACACTGGTTTGCAGAAGGTGTGGGTGAGCCGAGTGCCACTAGCAATCGCTGCCTCCACGAGGCATTTGCATTCACGAAAAAGCAGGGTGGGTACGTCCCCAAAACACTCATCGCTGGAGACAGCAGAAACTGCAAGTGTGTGTATTGCTTTCACACAGCTGGCAAACTTCTTTTTTGCACTTCTTCCATGTCAGAAAATTACCTATTTTGGACTTTTTTTTCCAAAGAACTTTAAAAGAATGGACTGCACTTGCTTTTGGATGAATGTCATGGTTTGTTCATGAACAAGGCAAACAAACACTACTTGTCTGGATTTAGGTCTTGTCTTAATGCCACTACAGGGTGGTTTTCCTTTTACTTTGCTAACCCATTGAACAGAAATCGATGCCTTTTGCATGTACTCTGAAATGACTGATGTACCTCTTTGTAATATGTGCAATCACTCTTCAAGAGCAAAACTTTTAACTCACGTTTTCACTGATGAGGGGCAACTACATGACCTTTTATTTTAAAAGTGGGCATTGAGAGGAGATAGCCAGGTTTTAAGCATTACCCCAAACAACCAGAGTTTTTATATACCTGTAGCATTATTATGCATTACCTGCAGCCACCTTCCTTGCTCTTTATACACATCTATTAAATGAATTTCCTGACATGGTACAGCCTTTCAGCTGGACTAAAGAATTCAGCTGGACTAAAGAATTTAATCAGCTGTTCTCTATGAAACTTTAAATAACATACTTCCTGAGTCTCTTCCCAGAACACAGGTTTCATTGAAAGGATAGTTAGAGGTTTTATTTTAAAAAGCCATAAATGAGACATTGGATTGTAAGCAGCCCTAACTGAACAGGCTGTCTTTGAGATACATTAGTATTAGTTAAAATAAATACTGAATTTTATACATGCCTGGGCCTTTTCTCCCCACCAGTTCTGTAGCACTACTTTTCAAAACTGGGCTCAGAGTACATTAATGATGGGTGATAAACTCACGCTGCAAACAATGTTGGGTTGTACTATGTTTTACACTATGTGAAGAGTTATCACTTCTGTTTACAAGTAGCACCATGCAGGTCCTAGTCTGAATAGTTTAAGAATTCCAATTGTATTTCTGTTGAGAAGGTGAAGACAGTGAGTTTGTAACTGAGCCTTAACCTTTGCCCAGAGTTAGGGCAAGATTACAACAGAAGTTAGTTCAGTTTTCTTTGCATTTCAGTGTAAGCATGCATTGATGTCTGGAGGGTATTGTTTGTGAAGTATAGTATTGCTCACTCAGAGGTTGTATGTCTGTATTAAGCTGAAAGGTGAATGTTCTTGATTTTAAAATTACACCCTCCAAAAGGTTATATATGAAAAAGATTTTTTTAATTGCTTACCTGTAATCTTTATACAAGTACATAAACTTTTTTTCCACTAATATTTGCCTGGAGTTAATCTGTTTTGTTCTCTTGGCCTTTATTACTGCATGTCAGTTGTGGTTTTTTTTACACCTCCAACCTCTTCACTTACCTCACTGTCATTCTCTTCAGCCTCATCACTTTTACTGTTTTAACTGTTATCAACTTCTGCCAGCTCCCACAACTCATCTTCCCTGCCACCCAGAGAACTTGAAACATCCCATTTTAGGTGTAACCCTTCAGCTACACCCTTCCTCGAGCACTGTTTTACTCTTCAACACCACATCCAGTAACAGTTTTGTACTGTTTGTAATGCTGTCAGCATTACATTTCAGAAAACACTTCAGCACTGGGGGAGACTCCTAAAACTGCCAAAAGTCACACTGTGAGTCCCTGAAGTGTGGCAGTTGCCTTTGTCACTAAAGGGCCTCTCATGTTACAATAGCAAAGGCAAAAGAAAGAGTACCCTGAATTTAAGATTGCTTTTTTTCTACTTAAACTACCTAGGGAGACAAAACACAATGACAGACCCTTACTCGATTTCCTTCAGGATAAATACAATCTATTTGTGAACTAGGAATTTCATATTGCCATATTGAGAGTATAACAGCACTTTTCCTTTCTTATACAAAAGCAGAGACAGAGTTGTTTGTTTGTTTGTTTGTTAGGTTACAAGCAGTCTTATTTTTAGAGCTCACCACCACAACCTTTCTTGTGAAAAAGCTGCTTTTTCAGCTGTCTTGCTACTTATACTTTGTAGAACCTGTTCCTAGCTTCCACAGGTCTGTCACCATACTTACTGGGGTAGGCACTGCTGGGTGTTTCTTCCATCAGCTGGGGGCTCTTGGGGCTTAGCTCTGATGCTCCACAGCAGAACAAAAACCCTCTACCAAAAGCTGGGGGGGGGGGGGGAGAAGGGAAAAAAAAAAGCCCTCCATGGTTCCTGAAGCAGCCTGGCAAATTCTTACTTATCACTTGCTAAGTTCTGCTGACAGAAACTCATTTCCAAGATGCATGACCAAATGCAGGACCCCAGCACAAGGAACCTCCACCTTTGGGCTGTGGGCGCTAAACCTGCTGCAGGCTCAGAGGGGACGCCCCTTCTGTGCCCAAGCTGCACCGTAGCCTGGGACAGCACAGTCCCTGCCCTGTGCCCAGCAAAAACGGCCCTCTCGGCAAGAGCCAGGTTCAAGCTGGTGCTCCTACTTGAAGCCCATTAGATGAGTCAAAAAAAGTACGTACATAGAAAGTGGAAAAATAGCAGAAAAACACAGAAGTGTTTCAGCTGGCTCCTACTTTTCCAAAACACAGTTAATTCTGAGTAGGGCAAAGCCTGGGCAACACCTGCCAAGGAACTGAAAACACAGACAGGGAAAAACAGCACTTGTCATAGCAGGTAGAACCACTGGCCATCCACCAGGTCTTGCATATGTAAATAAATAGAAAATGGTGTACGTATACACACACACATATATGTAAAAGAACAATGAGCTAGGTTGAGGCCACGTCTGCTCTGAAATGGACACGTTCATTTTACTCATTACATTACTATTCTTAATTTGTCTCCCCACCCGCCCCCAAACCACCATCAAGCCCCTTATATCACTCACTTCCAGAGTGAACTAAAAGAAAAAAACAAACACATACATACAAAAAAAAGAAAACCCAGCCCTGTTGCCAAGATAAACTGCTACTGCTCTACTTAAGGAAATCAAAGTTAAATAAAACTCAGCCTCCCTGAGCATCCAAACCAACTCCAATGACAGCATCATTGCCCGAGAGGGCCATGCAAGCCAGCTCTGTCCCACACGAGGCGACCGGGCTGACGCGTCCATACTGCAGCTTTACCTGTCGGTCAGCACCGGCCACATCCAGCCTCGCGCCCCTGCCCTCACCACATCTGCCGGACTTGCTGCAAGGCCAGGGTAGCCCAGTTGCTGCAATACAACTGCTGTGCAGCTGATACAGAGAGCTTTTTTTCTTTTTATCATTTCAACGAGCTACATTAGGGTTAAAAAAGCAGGGGGACTCAAATCCCACTCTTTTTAAAATCCATTATATGTTTCCTGCAAGGCCAATACAGGGATGCTCCCCAGGGAAGAGACATCATGAAAGGTGAGAGGAGAAAAGGGTTGGAAAAACCAGAGCTCTTGCTGATGCAGGTAAATAGCTCCCATGATTGGGGGAGAGGCCCCTCTTGGACACAGAGACGGGTCTTTTACAGAACAAAAAGCACAGTGAGGGAGGAAGAGATACGCAGTGGTGATGTATATGAACACAGTGTAACCACAACGAGCCTCTACATGGAGAGGCAGCTACAGTGTTAGATCAGAGAAACGACACTAGTCCAGAGGGACTTGCCCCCGCAGGGCTGGCCCGTCCCTGCTGTTCCGCCAGACTCAGATGCGGACCCGCACTAGCAGGACTGGAAGCCCGCATGGGTGCTACGCCAAGCTGGGGACCTGCTCCTCCGGCGCACCCTTCCCACCACAGCTCCAGCAGCTGACCAGCCCTCAAACAGCATTACCGAAGGCCTGGAGAAACAGCTATGCTGCAAAATCAGCCCTGATCCCAAGGGAAGCATGACGTGACAGAACAACTTAGTAACGTGGTACCCATATCCGCAGTGACACCTGACAATATTCTGGATGCTCACCAGTTCACAGAAGTCCTACTTCTGAAGGCCACACCAAGCTGCTTACCAACATCTCTGGGATTGCCGTCATGCTTCAAACAGGTCAGACTCGTAAAGCAAGACCTAAGGAGGAAGCGAGAGGGCTTGTCAGAGAGGAACGACCCAGGCTCTGCGTGGTGGCCCGCAGCAGACCTGCTCTCCATACTCACCATGTTGCACAGGCACCTGCTCCAGCCTGGAGAGCAGAAGGAACACAGCTTCCAGGCAGTAGTTGCAGAACAGGCACATTGATACAGCCAGTGACTCCATGGTAGAGTGACACTGCTGGAAACCTCTTGAGCTGGCCTGCCCTGGCCAGGGCTACTCCCACCCAATGAAGAATACACACAGCTGCTCATCTTGCACCAGGTTCTATGTATTATCAGACCGGCTGACAGGTAATAACATGTCTTCTTTAGCAGAAAGCACAACACTGATCAGTTATTATTAAAAACAAATAAAAATTAAAGAACCAGCCACACATACTCAACTGTACAGATCAGCCAGCAGGTGAGTCTCTAGATTGCAAGTCCAGGAGGGCATCCTCCCACTGCAACAACAGCCTGTAGCTTGAGGTCTGTGCCAGCTAACCTAAGAGGTGTGGTCCATGATCACCTGGCCTCTGAGAAACATTAAAAAAAAAAAAAACAAACAACAAAAAAACCCCCACCATACTCTGCTGATGTGTTAGCCAACAGCAAGTACATCAGAAGTCATAAAAAAAACCCCAAAACCAAAAAGACAAGTCTGCTCTTCACATGAAAAAATATCAAGACAAGTTGCCTTGCCGTCGTCCTGTAACACACAGTTCTATCAAGGCTGTCGAGAATAGTACATTTGACAAAACTAACATTTCTGTAGATTGTTTTGTTTTTATAAAGATAGTGTCAAGCAGTTCATAACCAAACTTTTAAAATTTAAAGTTCCTAGAAGTCCTACACTTGGTTTTATGGCCTAATTAAACAGGCCTGCAAATAGGTTGTCAGGCTTTGTTTTCCTGAAGGAATAAGTTGAGGCAGGGGTTGAAGCAGGACATGACAAGGACTAACTCCGCCTGTGTTCCCTTCAGGCAGTGCAGAGACAAATAAAACCAGCAACCTCGACTTTCTCT